TTCCAGTAGTTGATTTCAAGTTTCATACCATTGTGGTCAGAAAAGGTGCTTGTTATTATTTCAGTCTTCTTAAATTTATTGAGACTTGTTTGTGGCCTGATATGTGATCAGTCCTGGAGAATGTTCCATGTGCATTTAAACAGAATATGTATTCTGTGGTTTTTGGATGTAATGGTCTTTGTATATCTACTAAGTCCATCTGGTTAGTGTGTCATTTAAGGCCAATGTTTCCCTATTGATCTTCTGTTTGGATGATCTATCCATTGGTGTAGGTGGAGTGTTAAAGTCCCCTACTGTTATTGTGTTGCTGTCTATTTCTCCTTTTATGTCTTGTTAATAATTGCTTTATATATGTAGGAGTTCCAATGTTGGGTGCATAGATATTTACAAGTTTTATATCCTTGTTGGATTGTTCCCTTCATCATTATGTAGTGCCCTTCTTTGTCTCTTGTTACAGTTTTTGTTTTAAAGTCTATTTTATCTGATATAAGTATTGCTACCCTGGCTTTCTTTATTTGCCATTTGCATGGAGTATCTTTTTACATCCCTTCACTTTCAGTTTTTGAGTATCTTTAGGTCTGAAGTGTGTCTCTTGTATGCAGTATGTGTATGGGACCTGTTTTTTAATCCAGTCGACCACCCTATGCCTTTTGATTGGAGCATTTAGTCCATTGACATCTAAAGTAACTACTGATAAGAATGTACTTATTGCTGTTTTGTTACTTGTTTTCTGGGTATTTTAGTAGTTCTTTTCTGTTCGTTTCTTCTTCTCTTGCTCTCTTCCTCTGTGGTTTGATGGCTTTATTTAGTATTATGTTTGGGTTCCTTTCTCTCATTTTTTTGTGTATTATTATAGGTTTCTAGTTTGTTATTACCATTAGGTTCATATATAATAACCTATGTATATAGCAATCTATATTAAGTTGGTGGTCTGTTTAGTTTTATCTCTTGCTAAAAGCTCTACACTTTTATTCCCTTCTTACCATGTTTTATGCTCTTGATATCATATCTAACCTCTTTTATTGTGCATGTGTATCTGTTACCCTCTCATCATGGAAATTGATGATTTTAATACTTTTGTCTTTTGACCTTCATATTATCTTCTTAGGTGGTTGATCTGCTTCCTTTAATATATTTTTGCCTTTACCACTGATTTTATTGTTTTTTTTTTGATAATTTTCTTATTCCTATTTGTGGTCTTCTCTTTCCCAGTTCAATAAATCCCTTTAGCATTTCCTGTAAGACTGATTTCTTGGTGATAAACTCTTTTAATTCCTGTTCTTTCATTTTCTTTCAGTCTTGCCTTCCCACTTTCAATCCCACTCTAAATCAGAGCTGTTTTAAGCGGTTAATTCTCCTGACCCTCCACTTCCCAGGCCTTTCTACCTGTCTTTATCAATGCTCAAGGAATTAAATATTTGTGAAATTGATGACATTTTCTCTGAGTTTCTTTCTAGAATTGAGGGTCCTTCATGCCTTTATCCATCATCTTTGGTGATATATCAATAAATAACTCTTTTTTTGGTCAACTGAGATTGCATTAAAATCTAATTAGGATTCTGGACATTTGAGGAGAAAGACTATGGAAATTAAAACCTCTCCAAACCACCTCCAAGTTTCTGTATTTTTTTATACCCAACCTTCTTCATAGACTCAGAAATCTTAGAAAGCTGCAGCCTAAAGTTTTAAAATAGCAAGTGGATAAAGTAGCTATTCTCTTTCTTTGAAAAGTGGTAGTGACTTACTACAGAACACTTAAAATTTTAAGCCATTACAGAATGTTGAAGATGAAAATATGTGATTTAAAGAGAAAAATTTGATGGCACAGCTTTAAATCAATCATCAGATGAGCTTCTAAAGCTGTGATAATTGTCTTTAATGAAAAGTGGAATGGGGAGCCATCTTGAGTCATCTTAGTGAGAATTCTTGAAAATCAACAAAACTCTAGGGCTAAAACCGCATTCACTCCTTACTTTATGTATTCTTCAGAATCTTTAAGTATAGTATGCTATGTACAGGGAGAAGGTAACACAGATAGTGTGTTGATTTCTTTTTAACCATAGGCATAGTTATATTAAAAATATGGAAGTGATCAAACTGTATATCAGACTTCTTATTAAAATTATTTTGACCATATGGAAAAGAGAATTCTCAGTACACACAAAAAGTTATTCACCATAGTAATGTGTAGATATGGAATACTTGTCATATTATGTCCTCGGGCCACAAAGCAAGAAACAGTAAGGTCAACCTTGAGAGCTGCTTTCAAGCATAGTCTGTTTTCCTGAGGAAGCTTACTTTCAGAATACATCATTCATAAGCCAGAAAATCCTTGCTGCAGTCTGGATTCACTTAGGCATAACAGGTACACTTTAAAGTAATATATATAGAAGAGAATATGTGATGATATACTTTGAGGAAGTTACTATTAAAACAGTAAAACCCAAACGACTGGACTTCCAACATTTCTTTCAAAGTCTTGTAATGATAGCATAAGAGGAGTAATGATTGAAGTCCTATTGTGGACAGGGTTTTGTTAAGAATTGGTAGACCACAGGGCGGGCTTAGTCTACAGGGTAACTCATGATTGCTTGCTGAAGTAGGGCCCTATAACATCTTATCTAATCAAGGCAGTAAGAATAGTCTATATGTTCAGTTTCTATACTTTCATTGGTAAGTTTCCATTTTGGATTTTCCTGAATAATATATTTTTCAATAAAATGAACAACTGTGGATCGAGTACCAGCTAAGCACAAGGCCTTGAACTAATAACATTATTCTAGGCAACACTCAGGGTCTTGGAGATGGCCTCTGTTTAGCACAAGACTGTAAGTAGTCTCCATTTTATATTTAGTATTCAGAACTTCAGTTTCCTTAGGTTTCTGGGCCTAAAGCATAGAGTCCAGAAAGTCCATAAAAATTTACCTAGATCCTTATTGTATATTTGCAGACTTAGTGTTTATTTATACAGCTGTACCCACAATCTACATTCTTGTAGAAAATGATATTACAACCAATCTCATGTTTTCTGTTGTAATTATATTTCTCAATGTTATTGACAGCCCTGATAAAGAGACTATAGAAAGACACTTCTTCCCACTCTTCCTTAGAGACTCCTGGGCTTCTGCTTCTTTAATCTGAGAAGGGAGCTGTTCAGGTAAAGACACAAGTGGGAAATGTAGGAAAAATAGGTGCCAAAGTTGATTTGGGAGATTCAGAGGACAAGGAATTTTTAAGTTTAGCAGAGTCATTCTTGACAAGTTCTTTCCTTATCATTCCCCACCCCCACCAACAGGATTCTGCTGCCCTCTTTATCTGGATGGAGTGAATCCTCCCATAAGGGTTGGATTACATTAGAAGTATGTGAAACAGTGGGACAAATCACAGAAGTCATGTCTCAGAGGAGCAGCTTAAAGCAATATTTGGACCACAAACAAGGCCTGAGTTGGGGCTGGGGCTTATAAATCAAGAAATCAAGAGCGTCATAGGATAGCAGAGGGAGAAAGTAGCAGTCTGGCGAAATTCTGTAGATAAAGTATGGATGCTTCTTGGTGCCTTTACTCACTCCCAGCATGCTCTGAGGGTTTTTTAAACAAAGTCAGAGCAAGAGAATACTGCCTCTCCTTGCCCCTGATCATTCTCTGAGTTCAGGCCCTTATCTCTCACCTAAAGTTTTAAAAGTCATAACCATAAAATCATTATCAAACCTTTAAAAATTAACAATAAATTCCTTAATATCATCCAATATCCAGTCAATATTCAGATTTCTCCAATTGTCTCATAAATGTCTCCCCAAGATTTTTCCTCTTGCTTCCTTTTTGGTCTCTTTGAATCCAGTCTTATTCCTCCTTCAATCTATCCTTCATTGAGGAACTAGTTAAATCTCACAGAAATAGCTCTGCCCATGTCAATTCCCTCCTCAAAACAGTTATCTTTTATCACCCAGCCTTTCCTTGAACTCCAACTTCCCTCATATTCCAAATATACAAAACTAAAGGATAGTTGTATTTTGTGTAAGGGATGCATTATTGAACATTTCTCATAATTCAAAACTCCTGTAGCTCAAATATAATCCTGATAAAGTATGGAGTCTTGATTTGTTTACTGGCTGACATAGCACCATCATTTCCAAGGCCGTCTTCAAGGTCCAGAGTGTTGCATGGCGATGGCATACACAGTTCACAATATCCTTGACCTTTGAATTCATGGAATTCTTAGAAAATTTTTAATTAAGTTGAGGTTTTATGTTATTTTATATATTACCTATAAAGTGATCATTTAATTAGTATTTTTTAAATTTAAAAGTTGCACAGTTCGATTTTGCGTATAATACAACTGATTGTACTGCATCATTATTCCCTAAGCATATTGTCTGTTCTTATGTCTCTGCAGACAGGAATATTTTTCTTATCCCTTCTCTGCCTAGAGAACTCCTATTAATTCTCTAAGGCCCATCTAAAATATCACTTCCTCCTTAAACCCTTTTCTGATCCTGTTTAGACAGAAAGAATCGTTCCCTTTTCTTAAACACTTTGCATATGTGTCTGCATCACTTACTGTAGTATGACTTAGAAGCTACTCACATTGTTCTATCCTTATAGTTAGTATGTCAGTATGCACTTCATGGCTATAGCATATTCATGTGTGCCCTTACTGGACTTAGTACTTATAGGGGATATTCAGAAAGCATTGACTTTAAATAATCTTGCAGGATTATTGTAAAGATTAAATGAAATAATTTGTGTCAATTGCCTGATACAGTGCCTGGTATTGGAGTTCAGTAAAATTTCCCTTCCTTTTTCCTCTTTTGTGTAGTCTAGTCTCATTTCTCTCAACTCCTTGTATATTCTGCCCATGAGAAGAGAATAGAGATTTCTTTCTTTCATTGCTCACATGTATCTTCTCCAGGTTGCTAACACTGACTGTTTTGCATCTCTCATTTATTTATTTATCTACTTATTTACTTACTATTTATTTATTTATTTGTTTGTTTGTTTTAGGTCACTGGTCCTGTTCAGATCACAGATCCCTCTAAGATAGCAGACAGACATAATATGACATCTCCATCTCTCCTGGATGCTAATCCCATGGAGAACCCAACACTGTTTAATGACATCAAGATTGAGCCCCCAGAAGAACTTCTGGCTAACGATTTCAACCTGCCTCAGGTGGAACCAGTCGACCTCTCCTTTCACAAGCCCAAGGCTCCTCTCCAGCCTGCTAGCATGCTGCAAGCTCCAGTACGTCCTCCCAAGCCACAGCCTACTCCCCAGGCCCTTGTAGTGTCCACTTCAACATCTGACACAGGCACTTCAGCAAATATCCCTACGGTTCTGACTCCAGGCTCTATCCTGGCCTCCTCTCAGGGCACTGGTGGCCAGCAGATCTTACATGTGATTCACACTGTCCCCTCAGTCAATCTGCCAAATAAGATGGGTGGCTTGAAGACTATCCCAGTGGTAGTGCAGTCGCTGCCCATGGTGTATACTACTTTGCCTGCAGATGGGGGCCCTGCAGCCATTACAGTCCCACTCATTGGAGGAGATGGGAAAAATGCTGGATCAGGTAAGCATCAATGTGCCCCTTTCCTAGGCCTCACTTTTCTCCATCTATTCTCTTTTTGAGTTGTCCTATCTTCTGTCTCTTTTCACCCCCTCTGATTATTCTTGCACAGAGCTTCAAGAGTAATCTTTCATAAATACTGTTTTGATCATGTCTCTTCAATGATTAACAATGTACAATGCCTCTCTTTTGTTTATCCCATGCTTCTCAAACTGGAATATGTATATCCTTGAGTGAAATACTATATATCTTCCTAAAACCTGTATATTATTTGATAGTAAGTAATTTAAAACATTTTATATTTTAAACATATGATTTTGTTAAAGAGAAAAATGTAAAACTTGAATAACCTTTTAAGACAAAACACCAAGTTCAAAAATAATTTTAAGCTTACTAAGACACCCACCCTGGGACTTCCCAGGAGAATGTGTTTATTCTTCTATGCCATTAGGAATGCTTTGGTGGAAAAGTTGAGAACATTTCTAGCCCTACATACTTAGCCAACCTTATCTCCTGACTCTCCCAACACCGTACCTTTTCTCTTAGCTACAGTAAAATAGTCTTCTTTGAAATATTGCCATCTTCTCTCTCTTCCTCCTCATTTGGCATCTGTTATCCTCCATTTTACTTTTGTACTTACCTGTATCACAAGTGCATGGACAATCTTCCCAACTTAATTGTAAATTCTTTAAGGACAAGACTGTATCTTATTTCTCTTTGTGTATCTCCAGAAATCCTAACATAGTGGTAGATAGTACTTGTCTTGCAACAAATAATTTGATTAACAAACTTGAAAATTTGTCCAGGAGAGAGTTCATATGCTGTAATCTTCTATTTAATTTTTAAAATAAATTCAAAATTCAGAAAGGTATAAATTAAGTTTCCCTTCTACCATTATTCCCCAGCCACCCAGTTCCCCTCCTAGAGGTATATCTACTTTAGTTTGTAATTGGGAGTGATCAAAGAAAATTATATGGCCTCTGAAGTGGTTCAAGATATTTAGCTTCACCACATCTGTAGAATTACAATCACTTGGATATTGTGCCTTAGAAAGGATGTTCGGAAATTGTAGTATAATCAGAGCAGAGAGATTAGGATGGTGAGAGGATTCACACCCGTGTCAAATGAGGAGCTGATAAATGTTTAGCATGAATTGAAAAGACCAAAAGGGAGATATGTGGGTGGAAAAGACTAGGAACCAGATTTCAGCTCAGTATAAAAAAAACTTTCTAAGAGTTTTCTACCTTTGAAACTCCTTGTGCCTTGTGATCATCCCATCACTAAATGTAGGAGACTGATAAAAACAATGTACTAAGCATCAAATTGCTGACACTTTGCAGTGTTCTTTTGAATAAAAATGCCATCATTGACTAGTGGTTAATTATGGTAATGATAAGTATTCATAACCATCTTCTTTTTGAGATTCCCTGAGGGGGTTAATTAAAATATGGTTATCGGGCCAGCCCTGGTGGCCTAGTGGTTAAGTGGTCCACTTCAGTGGCTCATGTTCAGTTCCCGGGCATGGACCTACATCACTTGTCTGTCAGTGGCCATGCTGTGGTGGCAGAAAAAAAAGAGGAAGATTGGCAACAGATGTTAGCTCAGGGTGAATCTTCCTCAGCAAAAAGAAAATAATAATAAAATAAAATATGGTTATCAATTCTCATATAAGGAGAAACAGCCAAATAAAAAAGGAAATGGGAAAATAAAATTCCCTGTGTAAGAATTTGCTGATATCAAGGCAGTTACAAAGGGATGGTTTGACGGGGCTTTGAATTCCCCCCATAATATCCATCAGTCCACCAAAACCACTCTAAATAAACAGAATAAATTTTAAAAGTGTTCAATGTAATTTCAAGCAAGCCCATTAGCCCAGTGGTCTCCAAAATGGTATACTTACACCTTGGGAGGAGTCACATAAAACAATTAGAGCACAAAAATAAAGTATCAAAATTTCTATTTGTATTTTCTTACCCTTTACATGTTATTTTTGTTTTTTGTATATTTTGTATTTTTAATAATGTACACAAAATTGTAGGATACTAGTACACTTATATCATACACACATGCACAAAGACAAACACATCTTGAGATACATGCTTAAAACTTTTTAGTGAATGATACACAATCAATGTATGGAGGCAACTACACTAAGCAAATACTCTCCCCCCCAAACTTTATTGCCATTCTTAAGTTTCTTCTATATAGAAATTTTGAAACTCTCACTAGATCTAGCAGACTGCCGACCACCTGATTGAGTTTTGTTAGGGATCAGAAGCATCAGTGTTTGATAATAAGAAATATTTGAGGGCCCGGACCAGTGGCGCAAGTGGTTGGGTGCGTGTGCACCGCTGTGGCAGCCCGGGGTTCGCCGGTTTGGATCCCGGGCACACACCGATGCGCTACTTGGCAAGCCATGCCGTGGCGGCATCCCATATAAAGTGGAGGAAGATGGGCACAGATGTTAGCTCAGGGCCAGTCTTCCTCAGCAAAAAAAAAAGGAGGATTGGCAGATGTTAGCTCAGGACTGATCTCCTCACAAAAAAAAAAAAAATATTTGAGGGCTTCTCCCAATGTAGGTAGAAGGGAAGGATGCTAACATGTATCAAGCACTTACTAGGTACTAGGTATGTGTTTCATCTCATCAACTCATTTCCATTTAGGAGCACAGAAACCAAAGGAGACATTCTCACCTGTGGGGTGAGCCTAGACATTGATCTTGGGACAGCCAGGGAACTATTCAGAAAGTTCAATTCAAGAAACATATATTGAACCTGACTTTTCAGCATACCCTGTCCTGGGGGCTGGAGATAATTGAATGATACCCATGCCCTATCCTTGGGAGGCTTACTGTCCTATCAAACTCACTATCCTAGAGAAGCTCATTCTAGTGGTACTAGAATGTTCTTTACTACCTTTCCCTCAAAGGAATTTCTGTTCCCTGCTATGCTAAAAATTTTAAATGTTCTTCTCTTCTTTCCTTACAAATACTTTTCTTCCATCTTTGCTTTTTCTTTATTTCTCTATCTTGCTTCTACTTCTCATTGTGGGCCAAACTAGGAATCCTGATAATAATTACAGAAGCACATATATTTATAGCCCACACTGCTCCTTTTCTTTTTCTTTTAGTGAAAATTGACCCCATGTCCATGTATCCACTGGAGATCCCAAGTGACAGTGAGGAGAGTGCAATTGAAAGTGGATCCTCGGGCTTACAGGGTATTCAAGGACTACAGCAAGAGTGAGTACTTTTGTCTTTACTTCAGGTCTGTCTCTGTGTATATATGTGTGTGTATGTGATAGAAGTGGAACAAATTCTCAGACACAATAGTAAGAATTTGAGGACAACAACATATAGGTAAACTGCCTTCCCAGGGAAGGAATGAGTTTGTGTGCACACATGGACATGGACATGCATATTATGGCAGAATTATGTTCTAATTGTAGATTATCAATTTTACCTTTGAAAAATCTGCAAATTTCCTATAAAATACAGTTACATACTGTTTCTCTTTATAAGTTTAAAGCAGCCTTGTCTTCTAATGTTGGAACTAATGAATTAGTTGGCTTGTGTTTTAGCAATTATGTGGTATGAAAAATACATTCTTTTAAACACAAGAATGAGACTTATTAGAGTGAAATGCTCATACCGTTTGGGAGCAGAAACCACCCAAGGAAACATTGCCACCCCCTGGGACCAGCACTTACTGAGCAGAATGGCCTAGTTGAGGGAACTGCTTAAATATTTAAATTATTTCTTCTCTTGGGGGTCTCGTGTTATATTTGCATAAATTAAATGCATGTATGAGGTGGTCTCACTGTATGTAAGTCCATTTATTTAGCCTCCGCTTTAAAATAATTCTTTGGCTTTATTCCTCTTTCTTTGCTCAGACCAGCAGCAATGACACAAATGCAGGGAGAAGAGTCCCTTGACTTCAAGAGAAGACGGATTCACCAATGTGACTTTGCTGGATGCAGCAAAGTGTACACCAAAAGCTCTCACCTGAAAGCCCACCGCAGAATCCATACAGGTCTGCCCACCTCCACCCCACGCCCCAACACACACACACACACACAAACATACACGCACATGTGCACACACATACACACAGTCTCTGAGAGATAGGAAGAGAAGAAAGTATTGAAAGAAAGACTGATCCATTTATACTCATGGGCCCAAGCTCCGTTCATGGCTTTTACCTATATGTCTTGTTCCTACTCTAAGGTAGCTTTTATAAATCCAGCCTAGGAAAACACTAAGCCTGATGTCTTCTGAATAGTCATCATCCCCTTTGAGTACCTGTGGGTGTTTCTAATTAGGAATTCATAACACTTATGCAAAGATTAAGTCAGCTAAGACATTGCTCCCTCCCTTGCTACCAGAGCCCCACTGGTATTACTGAGTATTGAAAAGCACAAAAGTAGTTTAAAATAAGTGCAATTAAAGCAGGCTTTTGGAACTCAGCACCATCCACCAACCTATAACATACTTTGGTTCACATTAGAAAAAGGGTGCACATTAGAAAAAATAAGTAAAGCAGACCTGGTGGGGATTGTGCCAAACTGGGGGCACCTGCCCCATCTGAAGGAGAACTGTCATTCAACTCCAACTAAATATTACCAAGTCTTCCAAATTTTAAAGAAAAGCAGAAAATCAAGATTTTTATGTGAAATGTCTTAGATTTTGAATGTTGGCATCTAATCAAACTTTTTTGACAATACCGTAGATTCAAAGAAACCTGCCTATGGGCTAGATATAGCTTGTCAGTCATCAGTTTGTACCCTCTGCCTTGGATACTCCTCCTCCCCAATCATCTCCAGCTCAGAATTGAGGCTTGGACACCCTGGACAAGGAAGGGGCCTTCCTTTCTTGTAAACATGTACTGTGTTACATTTGCTGTGTTAGGATTTGTATGGAAAGACCCAGAGTCCTAGTTGCTATGCCCTGAGGCTATGACCAGGTGACTGATTTCTAGGCTGCATTGTCCCAACATTCCCATGCACTTTTTTTATTTATTGATGTTTTGTTTGCTTCTCCTCCATGTAGGATGGAGGCTGATTCCACTGACTATATATATTTTTTTATATAAATATTTTTCTTAAGTACTTAAACCTAAATTTTCAACATTCAAAAGTAGAACAGTTTACTGGACTTTCGTGTACCCTTCACCCAGCTTCAACAATTATATCAGTATATGGCCAATTTTGTTTCTTCTACAGCCCTACCAACTCTCCCACTCCCCATTGTATTATTATTATTTTTTGTGAGGAAGATCAGCCCTGAGCTGACATCTGCCAATCCTCCTCTTTTTGCTGAGGAAGACTGGCCCTGGGCTAACATCCGTGCCCCTCTTCCTCTACTTTATATGGGACACTGCCACAGCATGGCCTGACAAGTGGTGCGTCGGTGCGTGCCCGGGATTGGAACCGGCGAACCCCAGGCCACTGCAGTGGAGCGCAAGCACTTAACCGCTTGTGCAACTGGGCTGGCCCCTCCCATTGTATTATTTTGAAGCAAATTCCAGACATCATATCATCTTATTCATAAATACTTCAGAATATAGCTTTAAAAGACAAAAATGTTTAAAAGTAAGCACAATATTACTAGCATATAAAAATTCCTTAATATCAGATTTCCTCAATTGTCTAATAAATGTTTTTTTAAAGTTTGTTCAAATCAAGATCTAAACAAGGCTCACACATTGAATAATGTAATCAATATGAGAAGGAGCCAGCCATGCAAAAAGCTCAAGGAAAGAGTGTTCTTGGCTAGTCAGAGTACAAAAGCTGTGAGATGGGAATAAGCTTGCCTTGTTCTAATAACTGACAATATGCCCAGCATAGCTAGGGCATATTGAGTGCAATGGTTGGTGGTGGAAGCATTGGGGTGCAAGAGTGGAAGGAGGAAGACCACTTAAGAGGCTACTGTAGTGATCCAGGTAAAAAAAATGATGAGAGCCTGACTAGGATGTTGGGAGTTGATGTGGAGAGAAGGAAGTGTATTGATGATTGAGGGGACACTGATGACTCTCAGATTTCTGTTTCGGGTGACTGGGTGGATGGAGATGTTATTTAGAGAGATAGAGAGTTTGCCAGTACTCCCACAGTTAGTAAGTGGGAAAACCTTTTTGGAATCAAACCTTGATGTGCAACCTAGGTATACTTTTTTATATTACTGGTATTCCACAGGTTCTTTGGAACTGAGGCAGCTGCAGAAATGCCTGCTTCATTGCCCTCCAAAGATTGGAGTTCATTGCAAGAAGTCCCAGAGAGTGATATCCCTGTCTCTGGTAGATATTCTCTCAGCAGAGAGCCATGAGGCTCTTGCTTATCTGGATACTGCCTCTAGCATGCAATGCACCTGTTCATCTCCTCTGAGCTTACAATCATACGAAGCAGAAAATACAAATACAATAATTTCCATTAAACATATACACAAGCCTTAGTTTTTAATATGACCCATTTACCCAGGCTCAAAATTTATCATTGATTCTTAACATTCTCTTATGCCCTCAGTTGTTTGTTTCTAAAGTTCTATTATTTCTTCTTTCAAATAGCTCTTTTATTGAGAATGTAGACATAATAGCCAAGAGCATATAGAGTAAAATGACACTGTCTGGCTTTGACATCCCAGTCTACCACTCAGTAGCTGAAAGTTACTTCACCTTTCTTTGCCTCAGTTTCCTTATCTAGAAGTATTAATAGTGTAAAACACTTAAAATAATATCTGGCATATAGCAACTATTCAATAAATGTTAGCTGTTATTCATATTCTTTCCATTCTAGTCTCACTGCCACCCCGTTAGGCTTTTTGTCTTAATTTATTCTTTTTTTCTTTTAACTTTATTGAGTTATAGTTGGAAAAAATTGTATATATTTAAGATGTGCAATTTGGTGATTTGATATACATATGCATTGTGAAATATACACTACAATCAAGCTAATTAACATATCCATCACCTTTTGTGGTGAAAACACCTAAGATCCACCCTCTTAGCAAATTTCAGGTATATAGTATAATATTGTTAACTATAGTTACATTGTTGTACATTAGATCTCTGGGACTTATTTATCTTGCAAAACTGAAACTTTGTACCCCTTGACCAACTTCTCTCCATGCTCCCCCCAGCCTCTGATATATATATATATATATATATATACATAGCACATCTTCCTTATCCATTCATTCATTGATAGACACTCAGGTTGTTTCTGTATCTTGGCTATTATGAATGATGCTGCAATGAACATGGGAGTGCAGATATATCTTCAAGTTACTAATTTTATTTCCTTTAGATGTATACCCAAATATGAGATTGCTGAATTATATGGTAGTTCTATGTTTAATTTTTTGAGGAAGCTCCTTAATGGTTTCCGTAGTGGCTGTACCAATTTATAGTCCTATCAAGAGTGTACAAGAATTCCCTTTTCTCCACGTATTCTCCAATACTTGTTATCTTTTGTCTTTTTGATAACAGTCATTCTAACAGGTGTGAGATGATATCTCATTGTGGTTTGGATTTGCATTTCCCTGATGATTAATGAAGTTGAGCATATACCTGTTGGCTTTTTCATATACCTGCTGACCATTTGCATGTCTTCTTTTGAGAAATGTCTATCCAGGTCCTTTGTCCATTTTTTAATCAGGTTGTTTGTTTTTTTGTTGTTGTTGTTGCTATTGAGTTGTATAAGTTCATTTATTTTGGATATTAACCCTTTATCAGATATGTGGTTTACATATCTGATTTTTACAAATATTTTCTCCAGTTCAATAGATTGCCATTTAACTCTGTTGATTATTTCTTTTGCTGTACAGAAGCTTTTTAGTTTTATGGAATCCCATTTTTCTATTTTTGCTTTTGTTTCCTGTGCTTTTGGTGTCATATCCAAAAAATCATTGCCCATACCAATGTCAAGAAGCTTTCCTTCTAGTGATTTTATGGTTTCAGGTTTTATGTTTAAGTTTTGAATCCATTTTGAGTTGATTTTTGTATATGGTGTGACATAAGGGTCCAGTTTCATTCTTCTGCATGTGGATATCCAGTTTTCCCAGCACCATTTACTGAAGACTATCCTTTCCACATTGTTTGTTATTGGCATGCTGTTGAAAATCAATTGACTGTAGGTGTGAGTATTTATATCTAAGCTCCCTATTCTGTTCCATTTGTCTATATGTCTGTTCTTATGTCAGTACTATACTGTTATTTTTGTGTGTGTCTGTGAGGAAGATCAGGCCTGAGCTAACATCCATGCTAATCCTCCTCTTTTTGCTGAGGAAGACCGGCCATGAGCTAACATCTATTGCCAATCTTCCTCCTTTTTTTCCCTTTTTCTCCCCAAAGCCCCAGTAGATAGTTGTATGTCATAGTTGCACATCCTTCCAGTTGCTGTATGTGGGATGCCGCCTCAGCATGGCCGAACAAGCGGTACGTCAGTTCGCGCCCGGATCCCAACCCGGGCCGCCAGTAGCGGAGCGTGCGCACTTAACTGCTAAGCCATGGGGCCGGCCCCAGTACTATACTGTTTTGATTACTGTAGCTTTGTAATATAGTTTGAAATCAGGAAGTGTGATGCCTCCAGCTTTGTTCTTGTTGCTTAAAATTGCTTTCACTATTCAGGGTCTTTTGTGGTTCCGTATGAATTTTAGGACTGTTTTTTCTATTTCTGTAAAGAACAACATTGGAATTCTGGGAGGAATTGCATTGACTCTGTAGATCACTTTGGGTATTATGGATATTTTAACAATATTAATTCTTCCAATCCATAAACATGGGATGTCTTTCCATTTATCTGTGTCTTTTTCAATTTCCTTTATCAGTGTCTTATAATTTTCTGTGTACAAATATTTCACCTCATTAGTTAAGTTTATTCCTAAATATTTTATTCTTTTTGTTGCTATTGTGAATGGGATTACTTTCTTTTCAGATATTTTGTTGTTTGTGCATATAAATGTGATTGATTTTTGTATGTTGATTTTGCATATTGCAAGTTTACTGAATTCTTTAATTAGTTCTAACATTTTTTCTTTTTT